CTTGAGAATGCAATTGGCTGGTATCACAGCCACCCTGGGTATGGCTGTTGGCTTTCTGGAATTGATGTGAGCACACAGATGCTAAACCAGCAGTTCCAGGAACCTTTTGTAGCAGTTGTGGTGAGTACTTTTAAAACCAATTTTAATTTAATTAAGTTTTTAAAGAAGATTTATGAAAGCAAGTATACAAAAAAATCAAAACATCATAGCTTGGGCCAGCCAGATAGCTCAGTGGACTAAAGCACCTGCTTAGTCAGGTACAAGGACCAGAGTTCGATCCCTGGCGTGCCATGCTGGCCCCACCCCCAGGGCACACTGAGAGGGTGACTGAGTGGGTGTGGTGGGTGTACCTATAATCCCAGCACTTAGGAGACTGAAAACAGGAGGATCACTATGAGTCTGATCTGTGTAGTGAGACCCTGTAGACCTTGGTTTAAAAACCATGGTTTAAATCTGAATTCCACCACTTAGAAGCTGGGACATTGAGCAGCTTACTTACGCTCTCTACATCTCTTACCTAGTCCCAATCTACCCCCATAAATAAGGTATTTATAGCACTTAGGTCTCACACCCAGTTCTTAGGCATTCAATGTTGACTGAATTGAGCAAGTAGAAATTATTAGAGCAGCAGCTGCTGTTATGCCTAGTGTTTTAAATGCAACCCGTGTTTCTAGGAGAAAAGTAGAAATTATTGATTTCTCAAAACAGAAAAAGAAACTTTTAAAAAAATGAGTAGATCCTCTAATAATATTCTTCTTGAATGATGTAATAACTAAATTTAATCTCTAAATGTGAGGAACTTCTATGTATACTTCTTTCATTGAACTTTTATTTAGGGTTTTTTGGTTATTTTTTTTTCTTATTGTTTGGTTATTGTATGTATGTATGTATACTATATATGTACACATGTGTTTCTAGGTTTGGAGTGTTTGCATAGATGGAGACAATGATTTATATTGACAGATAATAAATATATTTTCCTTGTAGATTGATCCAACAAGAACAATATCTGCAGGGAAAGTGAATCTTGGAGCTTTTAGGACATACCCAAAGGTAATTTTTTTAATTTATAAGTCTTTATAATTTCTTAAACTCCAAATTTATTACTTATTTTTGGTTTTTCTAACCCTAAAAAAAAAAAATGGATATAGACCCTCAAAATAAAATGATAGGAAATTAACAATTGTTATTATATTGCGTATTGTTAAGTTCAAGTAGTTGCTCAGACTTGTTACTTATTTTTAAAGATAATGCTGTAAGGGCCAGAATTTAGCTCAGTGGCACAGTACCTGTCTGGCAAACATGAGGTCCTGAGTTCTATTTCAGGTACAAAAAAGAGTAATGCTGTGATTAATAGCATTTTAACCTTAAAACAATTTAATAATATTTATTAAATAGCAAGCTATCACAAACTACCCCTAGCAAAAATAAACTCATACAGAGTCCACCAAAACAAAATTATACATCAGGAAAAGAAACACTTATATTAATATTTTAATACTAAACTTACAGAGATATTAGATTAATACAAGCTACCTTAGCCTCTATAATTATAAAAGGTACTCCAGGTGGTGGCAGTTAGCTTCTAGACATGTATTAGTATGATGAACTACTGAAGTGTGTATACATTTTTTTTTTTGGCAGGCTCCATATTGTTAATTTTATGAGAAAAGCAGCCTTTATTTCTTAATGAGTATTTAATAAGAAATAGCTTTCTTATAAGAATGCCCTCACAGAGAGCACATTGGCCAAGCATTCGCCGTGACTCATCCACATGGCTGACACTGACAAAGGTTCTACAATCTGAGGTACAGGATCTCAGGATAAATCCTGAGGCGATTTCACTGACCTTATCAGACCCGAAAGCTACAACTCTTGTTGCACAGGTCCTGCTTTACCTTGGTCGTAACCATCCAGCAGAAAAGTATAAAAACGAAGTATAAGTAGTAAAGCCA